TATATATATATATATATATATATATATATATATAAACTATTATAAAAATATTAAGTGTTGATGCGTGTTGGGAGGTCTGCGGTGGTAGAGTAATGAATTATCGCTAAGAGTTGCATGAAAACTTAGTTCACTAACATGTAATTAAAAAGAAATATAATGAAACACATTATTTTTTTATGTGAAAAGCCCTAAAATGAGCTTGCACGAATTCGGGGGGGAGCACGAGGTCTAGCTAAGGTTATCTAATCCACTATGAATGTTAAGTGCACATGTTCACTCTTCTTTTGAATTAGGGGATATAATGTTACAAAGTTGAAGAAAATCAGAGGCTTAAAAAAATAATTATCAAGTGAATTTGATATGAAAGATTTAGGTCTAACTAGAGTGATCCTCGGGGTAAGAATCAACATTGACAGGAGTGTAGGAACACTAAAGTTGTCTCAGGCATAATATGTTGAGGAGATTCTATAGAAGTTCGACATGGGTGATACAAAATTGGTTAGCATTATATTAAGTAGTCACTCCAAACTATCTAAGGATGTGTCACCAAACTTTCAAGTAAAGTAAGTACAGATGGAGATAACTCAATACTCTTCAACAGTTTGAAGTTTGATGTATGCATTGATTTGTACTATACCATATATTGCATATGTAGTATGAGTGATCAGTAGATACATGGGCAATTTAGACAGGTAACAGTGGGAAGCGATAAAGTGGATTCTCAAGTACTTTGGGAGACCAGTCAATATGGCACTTTGTTATGAAAATACAGTAATTAGTCTACAGAGAGTTGTAGATTTAGATCTGACAGAAGAATTGGTTAATAGAAGAAGTAAAGCAGAGTATATCTTTACATTGAGGGAACACATCAGTGAGTTTGATTTCCAGATTGCAGAAGATTGTTGCACTTTCAACTACGGAGGATGAATATATAACTACCACTGATGTTAGCAAGGAGATGATTTAGCTACATAGTCTTATGACATAATTGAGCAAGGAGCAATGGATTGGAATGATTTACAATGGCAGTATGAGCACAATTCACTTTATTAAGAATGATGTTTTAAATGTCATGATAAAACACATTCAGATGAGATATCATTTTATACACTTTCTTCTACAAGATTGGCAGTTGTTCTTGGAGAAGATACACATAGCTCATAATCATAATGACATGTTGATAAATACGGTGATTATTGAGAAACTGAAGTTATGTTTTGATTCAGTTGAATTTCATAGAAGTTGAGACTAGGGGTGAGCCACACCATGATTCGTGATTGTGAAGGTGGCACAAATGGAGATGCAAATATGGAGGACATGTGTCGGGTGTTATTAGTCTTCAAGTGGGAGATTGTTATGGTCTGAAACATGATTTGGAGAACTAAACGGGAGAACCCGAGCTCCAAAAGCTTTAATGTCATGTTTGGGGTGCTTCTGCGCCCAGGTCATGCGCTTCTGTGCCCACAAAAGCAAGTTGGGTGCTCCTACGTCCAAGCCTCTGGTGTTTTGAGCCCTTCTTACCCAAGAGAACGGTGCTCTAGTGTCTCTTTTCCAATTTCTTTTGTATCATGTGAGGTTGGTTATGATTTTAATCTAAGAGGCATTTTTCAAGCAATGAAAAAATATCGCTCTAATGAGTGAGTTCTTTGATAAGTTTCCAGTGAATGAGAGAAGCATCAGAGAAGAGGATTTCATATGAGTTTCTCTTGTTGAATCGAGAGGAACAATTTGGAGTGAAGTGTTGTAGGTTACATTGATTAACGAGAGGAAATTTGAGTGTATTCTCTGTAAACTTTATAAATTCAAAGTTGGTTTGACTTCGCATTTTTTCTCGTTCTCTGATTTTTTCACTTCAAATCCTTGTGTGCTTTTCTGGATTGTCTTTGTTGTACTTTTGTTTGTAATTTTGTTATGGTTTTCTCAAATATGTGCAATTTTATTCCGTGGTGTGATTTGGATTTAATATGAATCTAAGTCCCGATAAAGTATAGGGGATTGTTTCCCAACAAGTTACGGTTACCTTCTCCATTCTTGTATGATTTTCTATCAAAGGAGGTAGAGTTAGTTTTTAGCAAGATTTGGTTAAAGATGCTCAAAAAGTAGCGGTGTGCACATTTTTCTAGCTAAAAGTAGACTATTTTCTTCCACATCTTTTTCTTTTTTTTATGAGGAATTCCTTGTTCATTTAATACAACAACACGTGGGCACAAGAGGATATATTAACTTTAATCTTTATTGTTCTTGTTGTCGTCTTTGTTGTTGGTGTTCATGTTCTTGTTCTTGTGTGTGTGTGTGTGAATTTTGATCACGGGTCTCCTTCATGCAAACTTTATGCACGTTGCCCTTCTCATCCCTTCACACCCACCCATTTCTTGCAACTGCCGTACTTGTTCTATATGATTGACCATTGATCATTCTTTCTCCTAAGATTGAATGAAGACGACTTTGGACTTTCTCCATTGCAACAAACCCATTTCTCTTCTATGCCCTTTGATTGCAAAATAGTCATTTGTCTTCGTCCTCTTCTTTATTTTCCTCTTCTTTTTTCTTCTTATTCTTGTCTTTCGCTTCTAAAATTTTATTTTTAATCGTATTTCCTTGAAAGTCATTATTCTTGACTCCAAAACTATCCATTGGGTACATCATCATAGAACATTGGGAAGCTTGTAGGTAATCTCATCATCTTCTCCCCTTCCCTTTCTCCTCAACCCACAACTATAAATTAGTTAAGCTAGTTGTTTTTTTACTCTTAGATTTAAGGTTGTACTTAATTAATATTATTATAGATTGCATGATTAGGTTTAATTTTATAGGTTTTACCACATAATAATAATAGTTTTGGTTAATCATGCAGCAATCTATATTACTTGGGTTGTATTTATAATAGTTTTCAATACTTATATGTGCTTGTGTTTCATTTGTTGTCCTTGTTTGGGTTAAACTTAGTTTCATATTTTTTGCCTTGATGTTAAGTCGTTTTAAGTTCATGGTGGCTAAACCTTAGGAGAATTTTTTATTTTTATTTTTATTTTTTATGAGTTCTTAGATATTTTATTGATTTTCAATTCTATCTTTAATACTTCGGCATTTATTGTATAGTTATAATTTGTAGTTCTCTTTTAATGTTTATAATGAAATATCAAAGGGCATTTGCTGATAAATTCTAAAATATCAATATAATTTATGTAATTATAAGGTTTATACATATTTAAGTTTATTAATAAAATCAATAATATATATATATATATATATATATATATATGGATAATCCTGATTTGTTTGCACATTATTATGGTAGTATAGAGATATATTGTTTAATATTTTTTGCATAAATATGTCATGACCCTGCCTAGGACTTGAAGTGCTTCCCATAGGCTGAAGCAAAAGATTGGGCTGTGAATTCAATTTAAATATAATTTTCAATTTCATCACAAATAAATAATTATTTAAATAATCAAAAGAGCCATTGATAATTAAACTTTAAATCAACTTGAGAGTAAAACAATTAAAGATATAATTATCGTTATCTCGTTTCTCTAAGACTTAAACTTAGAAAATATTTTATTACGGGTTCTTAATACCTCAATGAATATCCATATCCATAAAATTATAGTGATGAAACACATAAAATAATATGCAATAGGCAAAATAATAAAATGAGTTCCTCACTAATCAACATTTATTTGTTATATGAGTGACTTGTTCGTTGGTCATAATATTTAAACGAGCATTGCTCGCGAGGTTATCTCGACTAGCTATGCGAGTTCCTTTCTTTTGTCTTAGGGCTATTGAGGTCTCCTTGGATGAAACAATTCATGGTTTGTTGACCAACAGTCTCTGGTTGTGCTGAGTCAACTACCTTCATGATCAAATAGACTTGGGGTATTAGCATCTTGGGATGACGAATCGGTGATATCCTGATTTGGCTACCTCTACCTACTTAAGGATTACTCTACCTTTCATGTTGTTGACCCCTTTTGAGCAATGTCGTCCTTATGTGACTTTGTTGGTATTGTCTTGACGACCCAATTATTAATGAGCTGCCACACATTTGAGATACAGTGATTCACCCTCTACTCTTATGGCCCGGTGAGCTTTGAAGTATAGGGATATCCTCTTCAAGACGATTTGGTTATTTCATAGGTTCTGATTATCGATGAGCCACTACCCATTATAAATGTGAGAGACTTGCTCTCTGCACTGTGGCTTAGCAAGAGTTTTGAAAGCAAAGGGACATTGCCATACGAAATAACTCTCTTTTGGTGTCCTATTTGCACCGAGTTAAGAAAATTTAAGCGAAAACTTTTTTATCGAGAGTATTCTTGATGTAATTAATCAAAAAGATATGTTGCTTTGGGGGTGCTCTTGACCCAGGCAACAATTTTCCTTTCGATTCTCTGGTTATGGGTGAATTATGAAGGGATTTTCTTCATGGATACCATGTTTCAAGGTATTTTGATCTGATCTTTTTCGGACGTATAATCTTGACCTATCACACGAGGATTACTCATACATAAGCCTTCCATTTTTTTTTTTTAAATTGTTTGTGTATTTGTTGTCGTATATCCTTATTTTTTATTTATCTTCTTTTCGAATCATATGTATGATCTAAGAGGAGAATTTATTCGAATAAGAGAATAATATGACTATATATAAATAAAACATGAATAGGCTATTGCTGCGTGACTGTAAGGTGTGAACCCATTTATACATAAGCAAGCCTAACATTATGTGGTGCTGCTACAAAATCAGGATAAGTGTGATCGAAGTCTTTCCAAGTTTCACCAACTGAAGAATGAGTTA